TGCAGGAGGATGGGGGGAGGAGGGTGCAGGAGGATGGGGGGAGGAGGACCTCCCAGCTCAGAGAGGCCCAGATTGAACAAGGATGAGACCATGTCCAAGGTGGGCTCCTTGTGCCATCCTGATCGGGGCCACACAAGGCGTGTGTCAGAGGTTGTGTGGAGGACCTGCCTGCACAGTGAGCCCCCCAAGAGCGGTCACCCTCCGACACGAGTAGATGGAGCACACTGTCACCCCGCAGCAGCTCCGAGCGCCTCGCACACCAGCCAGCTGAACGTGGTGTTCGGGCAGGTGCGGGGGGACATCTCGTGCCTCCCAGGGCCTCTGGGACGACACAGCCTCTATCTACACGCGCGGTCTCCGCCTGCCCCAAACCCCTCCCACGCCCCTCGGTGCCCACGTCCTAGATCTGGATATCCTGTGTGACACCCTATACGGGCTGCGGGCCGCCTGGACGCATACACGTGCGTGGTGGGGGAGGGGCTCCAGTCCCCCCTCCCCCCACCCCCGCCGCGCTGCCCTCCTGCCTTTGACCTCGGACTCAGCGCCGTCTCCCGGCACCCCATCCTCCCGTGCTCCAACCCTGCGGGCCACCGGTCGGCTACTCCCGCACCCGGCCGGTGGCCTGGGCCAAGGCGCCTACCTCTCCACGGACTCCAGAGTGCCGTCCAGACTCCCCAGGTGCTCCGGGACGGGCAGCAGCGTCGTCCCTCTGATCTTGCCCCCCATCACAAACATCTCGTTCTTCAGCTTGTGGACCTGCCTGACAATGTCCTCCGAGACCACCCGGGGCCATCCGCTCAAGTTTTCGCTTTGGTTTAACAGAGAGCAGAGCACCTGGAAGGCAAGGGCCCCGGACCTGTGCCCACGTGTGTCCTCCGACCCGGTGGCGCCCAGGAGGAGTGGGGACCCCGAATCGATGCCAGGGGGAGGCACGGCCGGCAGAGGGGCGCGGGCCCAGGACGGCCGCCCGCCGTCAAAGCCAGCTCCGCGAGGGGAGAGCCGGGCCCCCTCCCGGCTCATGTGAAGCCCCAACCCCGGCACCCTGGGGTGTGGCTGTCTTTGGAGACGGGCCTTTCAAGAGGTGATCGAGTTAGAATGAGGTCACACGGGTGGGAGGCCCAAATCCAACGCGACTGGCGTCCTTGTGAGAGGTCTGGACGCTGACAGACACGGAGGGACGGCCAGGTGAGGACACGGGGAGGAGACGGCATCTACAGGACCAGGAGGGAGGCTCCCGAAGGAACCCCTCCCACACCCGGATCTCGGACTTCCAGCCCCCAGGCCCGTGGTACCCTGTTGTGGCAGCCGGAGCAGACTGACGCGGACCCTGTCAGCTCCGGGCCCGCCAGGCTCCTCCTCCAGATGGAAGGACGCTGGCCCGAGCCCTGAGTTGGCACTTGGGTCCCACGAGTCCTCATCTCACACGTGAGGAGAGCAATGGCCAGAAAGCTACGTCACTCGGACTCTGGCTGGTGTGGCTGTCCACCTAATGAGGTGCCGGGCCGGGGGCTCTCGGTCTGGTCAGAATGCAGGTCTGTCGGGGCGCCCGGGGGGCCCGGTCGGTTGAGCGTCCGACTCCGGCTCAGGTCACGGTCTCACAGTTCATGAGTTCGCGCCCCGCGTCGGGCTCTGTGCTGATGGCTGGAGCCTGCTTCGGATTGCGCGTCTCCCCCACTCACTGCCCCTCCCCTGCTCGTCTCTCTCTCTCTCAAAAATAAACATTAAAAAAAAAAAAAAGGACACAGGTCTTCCATCGGCATCAGGGCTCCTGCATTTCTAATGGGCTCCCAGGGAGGCTGATGCCGGTGGCCCGTGGGCCACCCCATGAGTGGCAGGGCTCTAGACCACCCACTACCGGAGATCCTTCCTCTGGCCCCCTGGCCCGCCCGGGGCACCCACCTCCTCCACAACAGCGATCAGGTGCTCCACAGGGGTGGGGCTTATGTCCCCGTAGATGAGCTGGTCTTTGTAGGTATCCTTCTTGACGTTCCCCGGTTTCTTCTTGATGAAGTAAACGCCTTTGGACTTGAGGGAGGCGGGGAAGCCCAGGCAGGGCACGATCATGCCGGCCGGACTGAGCGTCAGAACCAGAACCAGCACGTCCGGCTTCTCAAAGAACTCGGCGAACAAGGCCAGGTTCTCCTCGGCTCCCACCATCTTGCTCCACTTGTCGGGCTTGAACTTCAGAATGAGGGCGGCGACTCCCTCTAAATACTCTAACCTGACGTCCGGGGTGATGGTCATCGTGACGCTTCCTTAGACCGCGGTCGTCCCTCTGGCACGCAGAGACGCCGACGCAGCTCTGTTTACCGGGACACCTGGCGTCCCCCGGTCTCTGGAGCCACTGGAAACCTCTGTTCTGACCAGGCAGCGAGAGAAGGTTCCTTGTGAACGTACACTCTTCAGCGGTGCATGGGCTGGGGGGAGGGAGGGACCGGGGGGCCTTGTCTGTTCTGGCTGGCCGGGGGTGGGGGGGGTGGGGGGGCCTGTGCTGCCAGGGGGGGCTGTCTCCAGGGGCTAGGACCACACACCAGTGGGGTGCACTTGTGTGAATTGAGACCAGGGAGCTAAGAGCTGGGAAAGGTAGAGATGGGTGCCGGTGAGAAGGGAGAGCAGAAGACGATCGGAGCCAGGTGGTCCGATGGGGGTGGTGGGGGGGGGCAGACGAGACCAGAGAAGGGTCAGGTTGAAGGGTCCCGGGGAAGACATCACACCCCAAGTGCATGGGCGGAGCTCAGGAGGAGGCAGGGGTGGAGCCCGTGTGCAGAGAAGCGTCAAGTCCGTTGTGGTCTCCACCCCCCCCGACTGTGGCCATAGTGTACCCCAACTTTTGCCCAGCTCTTTGGCCTTCCCGTGCCGCCCCCCACCCCCCACCACAGGCTCATGAAGGGGTCAAACTACAGATTCCTCATAGACGCCTCAGAAGCTGCTCACACCCCATCCAGGAGACGACCCTGTGGATCTTCCTGCAGGGGCAGGGTTCACTGGAGTGCTGGGGGGGGGGGGAGGAAGGAGGTGAGCAGGGGGAGCACTGTGGTTTTATTACCACCTAGGACCCGTGTGGCTCCAGCTTTCCGGGGGCCCTGGGACTTGACTGGAAGAAGCCAGGACTGGGGGGCTGAGGCAGGGCAGAGAACAGTCTGGAGCAGCTGGAGTGAGGGCCCCGGGAAGGCAGGGAGGGAGGTGGCGGTGGGCGACCTGCACGTCCTGCCCAGACCCAGCGAGGACAGAGCTTGGGGGTCCGAGCACCCCTCACACAATTAAAGGCTCACCAGCTGAGCAAATGCTCGTGCCAGGCGGAGGCAGGGTGAACCGGCCAGCGGCGCTTTCCTGGACCAGAAAGGAAATGGCTCCCTTCCCTTGAGGGGCTCCAACTGCCACGGAACTTCTGCAGGTCTCCTCAGCAGCTGGGACTTCTAGAACTTTCTCCCTGGGGACCTGAGGGACCAGCAGTGGTGCAACAAATGGCCAAACCTCCATCGCCTACCACCATTGGGATGCTCGAGGACTGTAATATTTTTTAAACTCAGTTGAGCCATCTCGGCCTCTGAGCTGGAGCATTCGGCCTATTTCCAGTTCCTGTAACCCCTACTATATTGGGATTTAGGTTTATTGTCTTAGTGCTTGGTATTTATCCCACCTCTTCCAGAATGCCTTTCTTCTCCTGTCTTGCCACCTTCTGGATTCTTTTTTAATTTTTTGTCTAACATTTATTCATTTTTTGAGAGACAAAGAGAGACAGTATGAGTGGGGGAGGGGCAGGGAGCGAGGGAGACACAGAATCCGAAACAGGCTCCAGGCTCCCAGCACAGAGCCTGTCGTGGGGCTCAAACTCACAAACTGCGAGATCATGACCTGAGTCGAAGTCGGATGCTCAGCCAACGGAGCCACCCAGGAGCCCCTGGATTAAATAATTTTTATTATTTTGTCCCCCCTCTCATTACTTTGGTTATTATGCATCTTTTTGTTTTCCCTTTGGAGGCGCATAGACATCACAACATGCATCCTGACATCCCACTATACTATTCACTACAACCCGATAATCAAGTTCAAAAAACGATTTCCATTTACAATAACATCAATTCTGCTTACAATTTCACTTCCAAGAGCATCAGAAAGAATGAAATACTCAGGATTAGATTTTATAAGGAAGTGCAAGACGTATATGCTGAAAACAGACAAGAAAACATCACTGAGAGAAATTAAAAAGACTTAGGTGGATGAAAGGCATCCTGTGTTGATGGTTCAGAAGATAGTCTTGTTAAGATGACAATTCTCAAATTGATCTATAATTGATCTAGAGTCAACACAATTCCTATCCAAATCCCAGCTACCTTTCTTGCATAAATGGGAAAACTGGTTCACCCTATGCCAGGGAAATGTGAGGGGCCAAGAAGAACCAAGACGATCTTGAAAAAGAACAAAGTTGGGGCGCCTGGGTGGCTCAGTCAGTTAAGCGACTGACTCCGGCTCAGGTCATGATCTCACGGTTTGTGGGTTTGAGCCCCACATCAGGCTCTGCGCTGACAGCTCAGAGCCTGGAGCCTGCTTTGGATTCTGTGTCTCCCTCTCTCTCTGCCCCTCCCCTGTTCACACTCTGTCTCTCTCTCAAAAATAAACAAAAAAGAAAAAGAAAAAAGAACAAAGTTGGAGGACATGCACTTCCCAAGCTCAACACTGCCTACAAGAGCTACAGTAATCAAGACTGAGAGCATCCGGCGGACATCCAGATGCATGCAACAGAACGGAGACCCTAGAAGTCCTTTATGGGCAGTTGGTGTTAGGGATGCCAGGAGAGTCCAGCAGGGGAAGCAGTAACCTTTCCAACAAGCGGCACTGGAACGAGTCCAGCCCACACGCACAGGAAAGGAGTCAGATCCCTACCTCACACCACCTACAAAAATTGACTAACAATGGATCAAAGACCTAAATGTAAGAGTCACAACCTTAGAATAAAGCAGAGGAGTTGATCTCCACAACCCTGCAGGAAGCGATGGTTTCTTACGTGGGACACCGAAAGCATGAGATCAAAGAAAATAACGGATAAATGGGGCATCATCAAAATGAAAACTTTCTGTGCTTCAAAGGACACTATAAAGAGAGAGAAAAACCCACAGAATGGGAGAAAGTATTTTCACATCTTCCATCTGATAAGGGACTTGTATTCAGAATACATATAGAACTCATAACGTAATAATAAAAATGCAAACAACATAATTAGAAATGGATAAAGGGGGCACCTGGGTGGCTCAGTTAGTTGAGCGTGTGGCTCTTGATTTCGGCTCAGGTCATGATCTCACGGTTTAAGGGTTCGAGCCTCACGTCGAGCTCTGAGCTGATAGAGAATGAATCCCAAGCAGGCTCCGCACTCTCACTCTCAAAATAAATAAACTTCAAAATAAAAAGCTTAAGGGACAGCTGGGTGGCTCAGTCGGTTAAGCATGTGGCTCTTGATTTTGGCTCAGGTCATGATCTCACAGTTCGTGGGTTCGAGCCCCATGTTGGGCTCCATGCTGACAGCTCAGAGCCTGGAGCCTGCTTCGGATTCTGTGTCTCCCTCTGTCTCTGCCCCTCCCCCACTTGAACTCTATCTCTCAAAAATGAATAAATGAATAAAAAAATTTAAACAAAACACTTAAAAAGAAATGGACAAAGGTAGACTTTTCTCCAAGAAAGACATACACGTGACCAACAAGCACATGAACAGGTGTTTACATCGCTGACTGCCAGGGAATGAACTCATGTGAGGTGCCCAGAGCCATCAAATCCATCCATCCAGAAAGTTCCCAGTGCCCAGCCCTCTGGATGAGCACTGCACCGGGCACTGTGCCTGGGCCACCTCAGGCCTTCTGTAAATAGTACCAAAGAAACAAAGGCCCTGAGAAGTCCTGTTGCTAGGAGGTCTGTTTAACCTCATGCAACCTGGTGTTCCGTCAATGTGTTGGAAACACGGTGGAGCCCTTCTTTCCTCGAAGCCCCATCCCTGGTTTGAAACCCTATGTGCTTCCCCAGGGTCTGTGTGTCCGTGAGACGCAAAGGATCGAATGTCTCCTGCTGAAATCGTGGACGTGCAGGGACTCAGGGAGACCTCCTGTCGCCCTCGAACCACAGCCCTAGGGCTCCAGGGTGGGTGCTGTGCCTGATACCAGGGAGAGACCCGTGAGGGCCATGGAGTTTCCCGGTGGGTCCCACCTGAGCAAAGAAGACCGAGGAGGACCCACTTTCCAGGCGGCACTTTTGACATGGACCCACTGTCCACGTTGCAGCGGGAGCGGCAGGCCCTCTGGAAACGACCAGGGCAGCGAGCGAAGCTTCCGGACCGGGAAATGCCCTCGGGGCCGAGCCATGGGCGGCTGGTGGTGACCCTCCGCCCTGGGGCCCCCAGCGGGGCACATCAGTCACTCACATCCTTTGCTGACAGTCACAGACCACTCCAAGAAAACTCATCCCCCACTCACCAGCCCCAGGAAGCACTTCCTCCCGGTTTCACAGCAGACGTGACCCATCATTAAACACAATCGCAGGACAATTTTCTCCTGCTGGGGACGCTTGCGGACAGCAGGGGGCCGGCCATCTGGCTCTCGTCAGCCCTCCCCGCCCCGACATCCTCCCTCTGCTCCAGCCCTGACACACGTCCTCATGCTGAGTTCCTGGCAGAAGGGGGACGGGAGGACAGTCGGGCTTTGTCCTCCCGCCCAGGCACGTCCTTGCCCTGGCACTGGGCAGAAAGGGAGGGCCGAACCCTGCCTGCCAGGCTGGCCCTGCAGGGGACTCTTCCTTTGTGACCAGGGCAGTGTGGCCAGAGAGAGGGTTCTCTGGCCTTCGAGGTTGCCACAGGTCGCCGCAAGGGTAGGCACTCTGGAGGCCTGGGGGCCTTTTCTAGCTTGGGCTCTTGGGACAGCAAGCCCGGGGGTGAGGCCCCGACAGGCACGGAGGGGAGTGTGTGGATTCCAAGCGGTCCAGGCTGCGAACGGGGCAGGCCCGTGGGAGCACTTTGCGGCACAATCTGCCCCTGCCCTCCCCCGGGGAAAGGGGTCGGTGCGCGGCGCTCCCCACGGGAGCCGGCGGTTGACGGACATGCCTCGCGCTGGCTGGCCCAAGAGGAACAGAGCCGACTCTGGCCTGAGCTGAGAGAGACAGACCCTCCGGTGCTACTGGGATGGAGGAAAGCACCAGACGCAACTCCGGACACAGCAGAGGCAGCTGGGCATTTGCAGCCCTGCGCGGCGAGGGGTCCGTGGGCGGGAATGACCGACGCGAGACGCCAGCGGACAGGGATTCTGGCTAGAGGCAGCCGAGGACTTAAGACACCGAAGGCGGGGGCCGAGGAGCCTGAGCAGACATCAGTGGCAGCGGGGGTGGCGGTGACGGAACGGGATTCTTCCCGAAGACTGGCTTAGGCAGACCTGGAACCTGGGCCCCAGCACCGAGAAGCAGCCTGTCCGAGACGGAGAGCGCTCAGAGGAACCCGTCCCCAGCTTGGGCAAGGAGCCTTCAGGCTTCAACCTCGTGAGGGGTTCGGAGTTTGGGGGAACAGAAGTTGGCCCTCGGGGCAGCAGACAGAGGGGTCCCTCCCTGCCGGCCTGTGGCTCGGGGCAGAATTCAGCAAAACCACAGGGACCTCAGAGGGACCAGATTTATCAGCCACAAGTCCTAGGGTACACGGCATGCTCAGGCGCACACAGCAAGGTCACAGGGGATGAGAGAGACAGAATGTGGACCTCGGGCTCTCCCTTTGTGAGGGTCCAAAGGCGGGGTGGCTCACTGTTGGCTAACCTGAAACAGAAGAGGGGAATTAGGGTTCAGGAGCGCGGAGGCCGCGTCTTCTGAAAGGGGAACTCCAGGTGGGGGGCCTAGTTGCCATCTGGCCGTTTTGCTCCTGGCCTGTGACCCGGCAGGCAACGTGCTCCTGCGAGATGGACGGCTTCCAGTGGGTGCCTCGGAGTCAAAGCTCAATGTCAAGGGGCGCCTGGGTGGCGCAGTCGGTTAAGCGTCCGACTTCAGCCAGGTCACGATCTCGCGGTCCGGGAGTTCGAGCCCCACGTCGGGCTCTGGGCTGATGGCTCGGAGCCTGGAGCCTGTTTCCGATTCTGTGTCTCCCTCTCTCTCTGCTCCTCGCCCGTTCATGCTGTCTCTCTCTGTCCCAAAAATAAATAAATGTTGAAAAAAAAAATAAAAAAAAAAAAAGCCCAATGTCAAGCACTTACCCCACGCCTTCCAGGAGCCACGCCCCGTCCCCCTGCCAGGCCAGGCCCTTGTGTTGCTCGAAACTGGCTGTGGGCCACGCAAGCCTCCTGTGTCCCGGGCGGGCCCCGCGGGTGCAGCCCAGCTCAGGGCCTGGGAGCTTTATCTCTGTTTAGAGCAGAGTGAGATGCGAGGTCCTTGAACCAGCAGGAGCACCTGGGGGCTGGTTAGGGCTACAGGTTGTTAGTGGGAAGTCTGGGGGTGGGGCCCAGCCGTCCTCATCTAAACAAGCCCCCGGGTTTCGAATACAATTTTGGTCTCTGTTTGGAGTAACTTTATTGGAAGCAGCCATTAGCTACCAGGGCCCTCCTGTGTTTCCTTTCCTTCTGGTCATTCAAGCTCCAGGAGAACCCACCCTCAAAACCGGCCTTCCCTTCAACAAGCCCAGCAGGTGTGGCTTCACGCAATGGTTCTCCGGTGGCTGCACAGTGGAATCACCTGGGAAGCTTCTGGACTTAATGGTGCCCGGCCCCACCGCCCCAGGGGTCGAGGCCATATGTCCAGGCTTTAAATCTTCCCTGTGGGTCTGAGTGGGGATCCCTGCCTGGGGAGGCTTCAGTGCCCCTCAGAGGGGAGTCTCGCTGTCCTTTACCCCATCGTGGCCAAACAGTCACAGAGAGAACAAATTAGAAATCCGGGCAGATTCGACTCGGAGACAAACGCGTCCCGGCACAAGCAGCAAGGTGCACTCCAGGACCCCTCCCGAGGGGCACAGAATCTGCCAAAGCCCTCGCAGTCGATTGATCTATCGTTGACTGTCTGTCTCCCCATCAGGGGAGACCTTGGACGTGCCCTGAAGGCGTTCCAGCAGGTGCCAGGCCAGGCCCTACGGACCCCCCCTCTTCTGACCATTTCTTCGGTGCCGGCTGCTCGTCCATCACATCGGCCAGGTGGGCAACACTCTGTGCTTGGGAGCCCGGGGGACAGGCCAGGCTTCGAGAGACCCACGGTCCCTCTAGCTCAGCATCTACTGGAGACCAGGAAATATCAAATATTGCTTCCTTGAAAGCAACACGACCCCTAGTCTTTGGACTATTTCTTTAAAAGGTTGAACTGCGTTACAGAATACTCTCCTTCTCAGTGACTTAGTTTATAAGATCTCCTACTGGAAAACAAATGCCTCCAAGGTGAACTTAAGTGCCCTGAGTAACCTCTGAGAGTCAGGACAAGGCTGTAAGACTCCAGGCTTTTCCCATTAAAGCACCACGAGCCTCCCTCCCGTGCGTGCGTGCGTGCGTGCTCCCCTCCGTCCTGTCTTGCCCGATTGCTCAAGTTCAACTCTGAACTTCAGGGGAGGGAGAGAGACACACAGGGCCCCAGGGGCCGGCTGGGCCACTGCTGGAAGGACTTCTCGGCTTTGTTTGCAAAATTAAATGTGCTTTGAAAGTAACGAGTCAGGAAAGCGGCATTTGAAGGAGGTCTGGAAATGAGATTTCCTGCCTGTGGGTTGACTCACGCCTGTCTGTCTCTAAATCTACCCCAAGGACATTTGTTCCAATGTGACAGGGCTTGTGTGCATCCCCAGGACTCCTCCGGGGTGTGTGTGTGTAGCGGGGGAGATTGTCCAGGCTTTGGGGAGGATCCTGCGTTCTTTCCTGACTCCCCCTACCAGTCACCCTGAGCAGCTGAGAGATTCATCCCCCAAGGCCTGATCCCTCAGTCTGGCCTCCGTCCCCCGAAGCTAGAATCTCAGTGGTCCTTTGTCTTCTTGGCTAGCACAAAAGCAACTAATAATTCGGGGTGACCAGCTGTCCTGGTGTGCCTGGGGCCAAGGGACTGCCCAGGATCTGGGACTTTCAGAACAAAACCCAGGAGAGTTGGGGACACCGTGGGGGCTAACTGGTGGCCCTCTCATTGCTGCCGGGGCCAAAATGACTGCAGTAGAAGTGGACACAAGCTGTCTGTTTTCCCCAGGAACCTTCCTGGAACCCAGAGGAATTCCCTGTGGTTCTCGGAGAGGTGGGGAACTTTCTCAGGACCACCCAGCTTGTAATTAGCAAGCCAGGTTTGGAATCCGATTTTCCAATTCACCAAATGCTGCTGGTTTACCCCTCGAGGGCATCGTTTGAATTGCAAAGCTTTATTTCATAGTCTTGGGTGGTCCTCAGACCAGACCACCTCAGGGGATCTGGCGGGAAGGCAGCCTCTCCGCCGTCCCTGGGACTCAGAACCGGGGGTTCGATCCCATCCCCAGGTGACTCTAGGCACAGGCGCGATTAGACCAGGGACAGGCCAGCTTCAGACACAGGTCGGATCGGAGGAAGGTGCTGGAGTCACTGCCGCTCCTATGCAAAGCCACAGAAAAACAGTACCTTGACCTGGGGGCAGCCTCCCCAAGCCAAGTGGGATATTTAGCGAGACCCTACGCTCTGAATTAGAGTTTTATCAAATTCGAAGGGCAGTTACAGGTGTTTTTGAGTAAAACTGGGAAATCCATTTTTAACACACGGCAGAAAGAGATTCTTTTGTGTTTTAAACGAATAGACTATTTTTTAAGGTAGTTTTAGGTTTACAGAAAAACTGAGTATAAACTACAGAGTTCTGATATGCCTCTTACCTCCTCAGTCCCCACCCCTCCCCACCCCCCAGTTCCCCTATTAGTAACGGTGTGGTTTGGGGTGATGGGGGTTTGGAACCCACGGCCAAGAAAGAATTCTTGAGATGTCTTGGATGCAAAAAGGTGGTTTTATTAAAGCACGGGGATAGGGCCCGTGGGCAGAAAGAGCCGCACTAGGGTTGTGAGGGGCAACTGATCATATACGTGGGAGTTGGGGGAGGTAAAGATGCGGGAAAGTTTCCAAAAGGATTTTCAGATGTTAAAGAACACGGGACACCTGGGTGGCTCAGTCGGTTAAGCACCGACTTCGGCTCAGGTCGTGATCTCGCGGTTCTTGGGTTCAAGCCCCGCGTCGGGCTCCGTGCTGACAGCTTGAAGCCTGGAACCTGCTTCGGATTCTGCGTCCCCCTCTCCCTCTCTCTCTCTGCCCCTCCCCTGCTCGAGCAAACATTTCTAACAAATTTTAACTTGATAAACAAGCGAGGTCTTGCGACGCGAGTAGTACGTGATGCCTAATGTCACGTGATCACAACTGATCCAGTGGTTCTCTGTTTCTCTCTCTCTGTCTCTCTCTCTCTCTCTCTCTCTCTCGCTGGGGGATTGTGGATGATCGCCTCCTATGCTCAGATGCTTGGTCTCAGGCCACGGTGTTTGGCAGAAATCAGTGATTTTTCTAAATGTTTTTTTTTTTTCAACGTTTATTTATTTTTGGGACAGAGAGAGACAGAGCATGAACGGGGGAGGGGCAGAGAGAGAGGGAGACACAGAATCGGAAACAAGCTCCAGGCTCTGAGCCATCAGCCCAGAGCCTGACGCGGGGCTCGAACCCACGGACCGCGAGATCGTGACCTGGCTGAAGCCGGACGCTTAACCAACTGCGCCACCCAGGCGCCCCAAAAATCAGTGATTTTTCAAAACCTTGGAAGGTGCCCACAATTGGCACTAGGGTAATTTTTGTCACATTTTGGACAGTCCTTTGCTTTTCCACCCAAGAGTGAGCTCAGGAATGCTTTGCTTCATTCTAGGTCAGGGTGCCTGCGGATATAGACCCTTTCCTCCGCTGCCTTATTGCCGGTTACGTTAAATACAGTCTATGACAAGAGTTTATTAATACTGTATCGTAGTCGACATCCGTGCGAGCGTATACCATGGCCCCCATGCAGAACTTTGGGTTACAAGCGTGTTTCTGGAACAAATTGTGCTCGCAAGCCAGGTTACAAGGAAATACAATTTTATCTACTTTTCTTTCTTTGTTCTCCCCGTCAGGGACACCTTGCGTTCATGTGGAATGTATGCTAAAATTGAAGAGCCCGCACTGATACGTTGTTGTTGTTGTTGTTGTTTTATAACGGAAGTCCACAGTTTCCTGTAGGGTTCCTCTCGGTTGTGATACATTCTATGGGTTTGGACAAATGGACGGTAATGATGTATACCCACCATTATAGCCTCACGCAGACGGCTTCGCTGCCCTAAACACCCTCCGTGTTTCCCGTTCATCCCTCCCTCCTCCCCAACCCCTGGCGGCCGCTGGTCCTCCTACTGTCTCCAGAGTCCTGCCTTTTCCAGAATGTCCTACAGTTGAGATCGCACGGTCTGTGGCCTTTTCAGACTGGCTTCTTTCACTCAGTGACGTGCATTTAAGACTTTTGCACGTCTTTGGGGAACTTGCTAGAGGGGTCTCTCTCTCCCGCTCTCTCTCTTCACCTCTAAATAATATTCCATTGTCTGGATGGACCACAGTAACTTTATCCATCACCGACTGAAGGGTTTCTTGGTGGCTTCTGAGTTTTAGTGACTCTGAATAAAGATGCTATAAACATCCGTGTGCAGGTTTTTGTGTGGCAGTAGCTCCTTTGGGTACGAGAACCAAGGAGTGTGGCTGCGGGATCGTGCGGGGACGGTGTGACTGGTTCTGTAAGATACCGTCTTCTGCAGGGGCTGCACGGTGAGCAGTGAGTGGGCTCGGGGGCTGCACATCCTCGCCAGCGTCGGTGTGGTCAGTGCTCCGGATCCTGGCCATCCCGACAGGTGAGCGGGGGCATCTCGTTGTTGTGGCTTTAATGTGCTCTTCTCTCGTCGGGGATTTACACGACACGAAGTCCCTTCTCGTGTGCGTATTTCTCATCTGTGGATCCTCTTTGAGGCGGTGTCTGTTTAGATCCTTTGCCTAGCTGTTAGTTGGGAAGCAAATTCTTTTAAAACAAGATACTTTTAAAAAGCCACAGCCACATACTGTAGGAGTCCATTTATATGAGATGTACAGGGTAGGCAAAACCATAAGACAGAGGGCTGACTGGAGGACGCTGGGGTGGGGTTGGGGGTCAGGGCGAGGGGAGAGGGGGCAGGGTGGGGGAGAGGAGGGGATTTTTAATAGGGGCAGCTGGCATGGGGGTTGGGGGGTTGCTGTCCCTGTGGGCTGATGAAAAGCTTCTGGAACTCTATGGGCATCGGTTGCCCAGCACTGGGAACGCCCTAAATGCTACTGAAGTGTTCATTTTAAAACGATTAAGATGGGGGGCTCCTGGGGGGCTCAGTCGGTTGAGCCCCCGACTCCGGCTCAGGTCATGATCTCACAGTTCGTGGGTTCGAGCCCCGCGTCGGGCTCTGGGCTGACGGCTCGGAGCCTGGAGCCTGCTTCGGATTCTGCGTCTCCCTCTCTCGCTGCCCCTCCCCCATTTGTGCCCCCATTTGTGCGTGTGCTCTCTCTCTCTCTCTCTCTCTCTCTCTCAGAAATAATAAATAAATGTTAAAAAAAATTAAAACGGTTAGGATGGTAAATTTTGTTCTGTGTATTAGATCACAATAAAAGAAGGAGAGGAAACAAGCGGCCTCAGTCGGTGAGGCACTGAACGGAAGCAGGGAACTTGCCCAGCAGTGGGGACAACGCGGGCCTGAACGAGGCATCTCCCCCAGGACCCCCGCTCTCAGCACAGAGCACGGAGACCTCCCTGCACGCCCCCCACCTGCTCCGTCTGCCCGTGAGGGTCCCAGGCTGCCCCCCCCCCAGCCCCCTCAGGTCACGGTCACTGGGGTGCATCCCTCCCTTTGTGCCAGTAACTCCAGGCGTGATCCTGACGCCACGAAGTCACCAGCGACGCCACGAAGTCACCAGCGACACCACCGGCTGAAGCGGCCTGACCTCACAGAGCAGAGCCCCACCCCTTCCTAATCCCGGCCACTCCCCGCCCGCCCCACTCACCGGCTCCCCTCCGGTCCTCTCTGACGCTCAGCTTCGGGGGTGCCGGAGGGGAGCCCTCTCCCTCCGCCCGGCTGCATTCAGGGTCCCTGTCACTCGGGGAAAAACCAAAGGTCTGTGTTGAAAATGACACATCCGCTGAGCAAAATTCAAGTCGTGAGCCCTGGCTCCCACCTGCCTCCTCAGCGCAGCTCGGTGCCCCCGCCGGGGCCCGTGGTTCCTGCCCCGTTCCGTGCTCCTTCCCGAGCAGAGGGTCCCTGTCGCCCGGGAAGGTGGTGGCTCTGAGGGCAGGACGTGGGTCCCGCGCCGCAGCCGGCTCCGGGAAAGAGCATCTGCAGGGGAACAGCAGGGACCCCCACCGCCCGGCACGGACTGACGATGCTCAGCCCCTGCCTCACCGCTTCCCACCGCCCCGCGGGGCAGGTGCCTGCGACCCAAGGTACAGATAGCGACCGGGCAGACAGTGGTGGCGAGGGCAGGTGCGGTGGCCCCTCGGCACCACTGTGTGCCGAGGACCTCGGTACGTCCAGTGCCGACACACCCTCCCTCTCCTGCCCCGACTGGACCACCCGCCCCCGGGTCCCTCCTGTAGCCCCACGAACCCCCGCCCGGCGGCTGAGTCCCTCGGATGATCTCCGTCCCGGTCCTTCTGTCCAGACACCGAGTGAGACGACTTTCCCACCTTCCGGGGGCCTGGCCCGTGACTCGCAGGCCTCCTGGCTAAACGGTTTCCTGAGGGGAAAACAGGACCACGGGGCCTTGCTGAGAACTCCCTGCCATCGGTCAGGACGCCACCAAGGCTGAGTTCTCTGAGATGCAAACCCTTCAGCACCGGCCTCTCCTGTCTTTCCAGGATTCCGGGGCCTTAGGGGCCCTCGGAGTTACAACCTTCGCGCAGGACCAGGTGGTAACCAGTCTAGGCTCCGAGAGCCGGGTGGGGTGTGTCGTGAGCGGTCACCTCTGCCACAGACAGCTGGGGGATGAGCGGGTGTGGCTGTGTTCCCATCACACATCCCTTGAGAAAACAGGCCGAGGACTGGGTGTGGCCGGGAGGCCGTGTTGCTGACCCCTGGCTTCGAGAAAGGCAGAAGGGAAGACGTTCACCGGCTACGTTTCTTTTCTTCCTGAGTTCAGGACACCGTCACGGCCCCTGGGGGCTCGGGAACTGCTCATTCAGAAGCGTCTGTGACCTCCCACGCCAGCTGGTTCCCCTGTAAGTCGGGGGTCTCCCCCACCGCCCCCCAAGAGGAGGTGCAAACCCATTTCCTGCTGGATCCACACAGGGTGGGGTGTCCCCAAATCGTAGCAACTCGCCTATCTTTCTGCTCCTTGAGTTTCCAACTAGGACGATTAAAAAAAACCCAAGAACTATTTTCAAGGCCCTTGCAGACGGCCATTGGCAGGGTGCCAGCCGCGGCTGGCGCTGCGACGGCAGGGTCCTCTCTGAACCAGCCGGATGGTGCCTTCTACCCGGGAGAGCAAATTCCAAGGGACTTCTGGGGTTAAAGCTCCAAGCCTCCGATGCAAGAATGCTGCCTCCCCAGGCCGACTGGAGTGCCGCCAAGCAGGTGAGAGACATCGCCGTTGCCCTGTGGGTGTTTGCACAGTTACCTGCAACAGTTATTAAAGCCAAGTAGCTAAGACACTTAGAGTGAATTTTAACATTTATTTATTTTTGAGCGCACGCGCAAGAGAGACAGAGCACGAGCAGGGGAGGGGCGGAGAGAGAGGGAGACACAGAATCCGAAGCAGCTCCAGGCCCTGAGCTGTCAGCACAGAGCCCGACGCGGGGCTCGAACCCACGGACCGCGAGATCATGACCTGAGCCGGAGTCAGACGCTTAATCCACGGAGCCCCCCGGGCGCCCCTAGAGTGGATTTGAGAGCGACCACTGGAAAACCAAACAGAGGACGAGCCACTGTCTCACAGTTGAGACCTTTGCGCCTCTTAATCCCCGAAAATGAGGCATTTCTAACCCTGAAAAGTAGCCGGCACAGCCTAGGCACCTGCCACGGTCACGCGCGGCCTCCGTGAGTCAGGGGCTCGGTGAGGAAGGCACAGCGCGCAGGTCGGGCGGGATCCCCACGGGCCTTGTGCGGAAAGACGCCTGGGAGGGAGCAGGAGGGGCGGCTGTGAGCTCAGGACCGCAAGCCACTAACTGTCCCCGGGGGGGGGGGGGGGGACACTTGCACTTGCAAAGCCGATGTCCCCTCCGGTTTGCAGAGTGGGGTTTGTAGCCGCTGCACCCACTCGCGGTTGTTTGTCCAAGAGGCGCACGGGGGCTGCCTCCTGTGAGGTCCCTTGCTGGCGGCTGCCGGGACTTGTCTCCAGGGCCCGGGGAGTTTACAACAGAGCAAGGATGTGCCTGCCGCTGGCGGACAAATGGGAGGCTCCTGTCGGGGCCCGTCTGTCCTTCTGTCTGCACTCCCTCAGGCAGGCGTCCCGCGGGCCGGTTGTGACCATTGTCTCCTTCACAGAGCCACCAGGATGGAGAAGCCGTCCCCAGCCTGGGGACGCCTACACCTGTCGCAGCCCAGAGAGGCCAGGAGGCAGCGGCCGGGCTCATCCCCGCCCAACACAGGGGGGCGCCACCCCGCCAGGGATGCTCTCCCAGGAGCCCTTCTCCTCCACCCGGACGCGGGAAAGAGCCCACTGGGGTCTGGAAGGCTGCAGGGCTGAGGCCCAGCGAGGAGACGGGCTCATGAGGACAGAGCCCTGGCGTGTTTTGCTCGCTCTTGAATCCCCAGCGCCTGGCACATCCTTGGAACAGAGTTGGCTCAAGAAACACCTGCGAAATGAACGAACGAATTACCAAACAGAGAAGCAGAAACTATGACTGAAACATAAAAGTCCATTAAAACGTGTAGGGCTTCCTCACCGGGCCCAGAGCACCGGGCTTGAAAGCAGGGAGGGGAGGCACACTCCTCGGGGGCAGAACTCAAGGAAGGCCCCAAACTCTGTGACTGAGATAGACAACTTTTTGATGCAGTATTTGAAGAAAATCAAAGGGCACGCAAATAATTCATGATAACCTTTTAAAATTTTTTTTTAAATGTTTAATTTTGAGAGAGAGAGAGAGAGAGAGAGAGAGAGCGAGCATGAGCAGGGCAGGGGCAGAGAGAGAGGGAGACACAGAACCCGGAGCGGGTTCCAGGCTCTGAGCTGTCGGCACACGGCCCGACACGGGGCTCGAACTCACGAACCGTGAGATCGTGACCTGAGCCGAAGTCGGACGGTCGACCGACTGGGCCACCCACGCGCCCCTAAGTCATGATAACCTTCAACTCAACAGACAGTAGAGGTGAGGGAACTGTTAACCTCAAAAGGCAGTACTGGCTGAAAACGGGGTCCACGAAGGGTTTTGATAAAGTCAAGAATAGATTTAGAATAGAAGTTAGGGATGAACATTAGTCCAGAGAAACAGAACCAGTAGGATATGCACAGAAATAACCAGGAAGACATGTTTAATGAGGGGTTGGCCCATGTGATGATGGAGGCTGAGAGGCCCCATGGCCTGCCGTCTGCAAGCTGGACACGTAGGAGAGCTGGGGGTGTGGGTCAGTCCAAACCAAAGGCCTGAGCACCCACGGGCGAGGGAAGGAGAAGATGGGAAGACAGAGGTCTCAGCTCAAGCAGAGGGAGTGAATGAGCCTTTCCTCCGCCATTTTGTTTCATGCAGGCCGTCAACGGATTGGCTGATGTCCACCTGGGTCTGCCTGACTGGATTCAAATGCTAACGTCTTCAGGAAACAGCCTCACAGACACGCCCAGAAATAGCTCACCGGCCACCTGGGCATCCCCTACCCCAGTTAGGCAGACACATAAAATTACCCATCACAGGATGCTTGGGGTGAGGTCATGGGGGGTATGGAGGCTTGGACATCAAGTGAGCCCCATCTGCTGCATTGGATGTGCAAGAGACCTAACGCCAGTGGGGTATTTCTTACTTTTTTAAAAAATAGTTTATTTATTTATTGGGGGGGGGGGGGTTGGCGTGAGCAAGGGAAGAGCAGAGAAAGGGAGAGAGACAGAGAGAGAGAGAGAATCCCAAGCAGGCTCTGCACTGTTAGCACAGAGCCCGACGCAGGGCTAGAACCTAAGACCATGAAATCATGACCTGGGCCGAAGTCAGACCCCTAACTGACTGAGCGACCCAGGCGCCCCCCATTTCTTACTTTTAATACAACGCAGCGCAGGAGAGACTGATCTGATTAGCAGAACGAGGCAAGCTAAGTGGGCCTCCTTCCCCCGAACCCCCAACCCCAAGCTCCCAGCCTTTTTTGAGGGAAATGGCCAGACTAGCGCGGGAGGGGACTCCCGGCGCCACAGTTTGGTCCCCACAGCGAGGCCACTTGGGAAATGACCACCGCACGACTGTCCCCACACCAGGGCGTAAAGCCACCCGGCACCCGGGCCTGCCATTCATCTCCAGTGGCACGGCGGACCCTCACGGCCCTGGGCACGCCGCCCGCCAGGACGCTTCGGAATTCGTGGGAGCCAGCTTTCCCGATTAGCGCGAGAGGCTGGACGGACAAAACGGCCAGCAGCCGGACCGTCTGCGACAACAGAACCTTCACGCAACCGTGGCTTCCCTCATCTTCCCTCGCTTTCGACCCAGGACCGATCAGGAAAACATAGATGTGCCCCAGACCCAGCCACAAAGGATGTCCCGCTCCTCGTTAGCCCACAGCTCCCCCCCGCCACTTCCCGCTCCGCCATAGGCTCTCCCGTCCCTGTGCAAACGCAGGGACGGTGGCCAGTGCCCCACCGACGAGCCCTGAGTAAGCGGCCTGTGTCTTTCTTGGGCGTCTGTTCATTCCCACAAGCGGACGGGGCGGCCAGGGAGCGAGGCCAACCTCCGATAGGACAGGGACTTGCCTCCTGTGGTTCTGGGAATCCACTGGCCTCTTCTTCAGTCAAGAGAACTCGGCGGTGGGGGGTGTCCGTCCTCACGGTGTGGTCTCAGGCTGCCTTGGGAAAACTGGCAGGAGACTTTCTAAATAGTTCAGCTGCGGCCCCCGGCTTCAGGAGCCCAGCCTGGGCAATGGGGCTGTCTCGGGCCCTCTGTCTCTGAGAGATGGAGCTGGACCTGCCCGGGTAGGGGTGTCACAGTACCGTGAGGGGCTCTGGGCGGTCCCTCCGCCTGGGAAAGCATCCCCCAACTTGCAGAGGGGGGCGTAGGGTGCTTCTGAGGCAGGATGGCCGAGTGGGTAGGAGCCCAGACGCGGAGGCAAATCGCCAGGGTTTCAACAACCTTGGCATCCAGCCTCTCGACACGTCAGTTCGAGACGCGGGATAATAAAAGCGCCCCCAACCTAGGGGAGTCGTGAGGGTGAAGAGAGACATTTGTAAGGCTTCGGGAACAGGCCTGGTGCAGGGAACGGGTCTTACCTGGTATCACCCGTCTCCACTCTTTCTTTTGCCGAACAGAACAATAAACGCGCAGGTTCTCGTGGGATCTTTTTTCGCCCCGAAAGCGAAAACGAACTGCAAAATCTCTAATTTCGAAGCAGCTCTTGGGCATCCTTGATACTATTTCCAGGCTTCTGGGCACATTCCTTAATTCTGTTCTTTTCTTTCCAGGTGGAACACCGAGTCCCGGGGGGAGGGCGGTGGTGGTGGGAATGCCAATGGGAACATTCCGGTTGCTGAAGAACCCGCTGACCGCACCAAGACGGGAGACTTCCGGGTCGTCTGCTCCGTCGTTAGGTCACCGGACTGGCCTGCCTCCCGCTGGGTTGGCGGGCCCTCCCTCCTCTTGAGCTCGGCGGGCGGTGAGGACTGGCGTCCTCGAGGCTGCCTTTTCGGTCGTCTTCTGCTCTTGCCCTGGTCCGTCTGCCGCTACCTTCCTCCAGACCCGCCCTGCTCTTCCCCTGCACCTGCCCCAAAGATAGCGCGTGTCAACGCGGGCCTCGATTCTCAGCCTGTGCACCTGCTCCTTTGATCGTGAGAATGTCCCTATTGAAACGCAAATGTGTTCCCTGATGGGGACGGCCCTGCACAGCCTTCTCTGGTTGGTTTACATCATCACTTGTCACCCAGACTCCCCTGTTTAAAACTGCAATCCCCCTTCCCAAGGGGAAAACCCAACCAGCTCAACCCCCCCTTCCCTCCCGCGCCCCACTGTTCCCGCAAGAACACATCACCTTCCAACGAACTGCCGTTATCTACTCATTTGTCACGTTTATTTACTGCCTGTCTTCCCACATTAAATGTAGAGTTCCGTGAGCTGAAACAGTGCCGGGTAAGCGCTTGGCTTGGGGAAGATTTCGCTGGACTCCTCGGTTAATCACCTGGCATTTAAGGCCTATGCTCAGGAACAGGCGGAGACCTGACTGCTCTGGGCCCACATCGGGCACGGGGCTGAGAGCCAGCGTTCACAAACTCTGCTAACACCTTGCCCTTCCCAAGGCATCTAGGTGCATGGTCGTTTTTCCAACAGTTCAGCGTTACTGCGTTTTACGGAATTGTTAGTCCTGTAACAGATTGGACTTTAAAAGCGAAATAAAACCCAAAAAATAGGTCCTTTGCCACAGGTAGTTTGAGAAGCACGAGGCTGGCAAATGAAAGAGGCCTGAAGACCTGGGACAGAGGAAAAACACATTTTTTTTAAGTTTATTTATTGATTTTGAAAGAGAGAGACAGAGCATGAGCATGAGCAGGGGAGAGGCAGGCAGAGAGAGAGAGAGAGAGAGAGAGAATCCCAAGCAGGCTCTGCACTGCCGTCACGGAGCCCAATTCCAGGTTCAAACTCACGAACTGTGAGATCATGACCTGAGCCGAATCAAGAGTCGGGATGCTTAACCGGCTGAGCCACCCAGGCGCCCCAGGAAAAGTCCATTTCTAAGATACAAGTTTAAATCAAGGAAGATCCAGAGCGTGGGATGCCGTGTGCAGAGCTATGGGGGAGCAGGCAGCCAGGCAGGCAGGGGTGCGGAGGCCTGCAGCCATCTGGCCCATCCTCCCACCCCCACCCCCACTCGCCTGGGGGGCTGGGGGACGGTCACCATACTGTCCGGTGGGAGGGGCTCAGGGTGGCCACCCAGTCTGCCGGCCACACCACCCTGTGGACTTTCCAGGCAGGACGTCTCTCCACCACCCCCACGGTCATGGTTGGCCACGCTAGAAACGGCACTCGCTGCTGCTTGCCCAGGGTCTTGAACTTGGGGGTTCACCCCAGGGTCTTGAACTTGGGGGTTCAGAAAGAGCTGACACACCCTCTCCCGGGGGGGGGGTTAAATCATAACCCGGGGGGTTCAGGAGGCTCCAGAGGAAGAGAGCGGTGGACCAGGTGAACAGAGCAGGAGTGAAAATGGAGACAGTCCTGACAGCATTCTGGAATGTCCCAGGTATCCTGAGCCCCATCTGCCCCGGGGGCTCTGGGTCCTGTGCAAAAGAAATCCCAGTCCTTTAGGCTTAAAGAAGCATGGGTTGGGTTTTCTGTAGCCCTGAAGACAGGGCCGATCCAAACGCAACGACCCCATGCCCCAGAGTCAAGGCCATACCCTTCTATGGGATTTGATGGTTTGGGCTCCTTTCCGGGTCCTGGCTCACTGCTGGCCAAGCCCTGAGGGACAGGGCCTCCTGAGCTGGCAAACTGAAAGGAGACGCGGCGGGTTCAAATGGAGCGTGTTGGGACTGGGTCCCGATTCCTGCTTGTCAACAAGTCAGCAGCAGCATGGTGAGGTCACTGTTTTTGTGGCTCAGCTCTGGGGGGGGTTGGCAAACTCGAGTTTCAAGGACGGGTCAGTATAAAGGGGCTCGTTCTGCAGGGGCAGAGCGTGCAGGGGTCAGCCTTCTGTGTCCTCGTGGTGCCCCTACAGTCCCCGAGTTACCCTTTCCGACGCTAACCTAGGTGCTGCTGGGAAGGTATTTTACGGATGGGATAAAAGTTCATCATCGGCTGGCTTTACGGAAGGAGACGATGCTGGGCTATCTGGGGGGGGCCTCGTCCAATCAGTTGAAAGTCTGAAGAGCAGAGCTGAGGTTTCCCTGCAGAAGGAAGACTCCCACCTGTAGCTTTGGCAGCTTTGGCCAGCACCCTTCCTAACAGCCGTTCCTACAACCTCAGGCTTGCCTCGCCAGCCCCCT